GCTCGAGGCATCTTGCGGACCAACTCGACGCCCAATACGAGCACAACTTTGTCACAGACACAATCACAGACGCAGGCAGACAAATCGACAAGACCCACGCCTGCCTCTGCCTCTTCTTCCTCAGCGGTTGACCAGCTGCCCTCAAGACCGGTTCGGTCGTCGCCCGCCACTCCCTGGACAGAATCTCGAGATGCATCAGACTACATCGACCACGACGGCGCCCTGACGCGGAGCGTATCACAGCCCAAGACAATGGCGACCACAACGACGACGGCTACCGCCACAACAACAATTCCAATCACCTCTACCGTCCCTGCACGAGACCGTGCCATTCCATCCTCGTCATTCAAGTCGGACAACATTCTGAGCCACGCAAAAGACATGCTTTTAGAACACCGTGAATTTCTAGACCGGACCCGAGGGAGAGCGTCGCTGGAGCTCGACTCCATATCACCAAAGCTACAGCATCACCAGCAACCATTACCTCACTCATCACACTTTAATGACTCCGTATCGCCTACCAATGGCAGCTATACCAGCGCTGCTTTGTCTACCGGAGTTTCCACTGACGCAGGAGACGAGACTGGATCACAGGACTCGCGTCAGGAACGACACAAAACGCTTGATACTTCCGAGAAGACGGAAAAGATATGGTCGATTGGCTCCGGCGACGGCAGTGAAGAGGATGGCTTGGTAGAGCAGTCAGTCGCTGAAGCCATTGCAGGCGTTGAGCACAATGCACGAAGCCGAAAGTCCAGCTACAGCTTGCGATTCTTCAAAGAGGGCCTGCCTCCGGAGGACAAGGCCCGTCGGAAGGATGGCAAGACTTCCCACCGCGACAAACCTGTGCCGACAATAGACGAGGAAGCCACTTTAACCGAAGAGTTGCCGCAAAAGTCTTCCAAGACGTCGCCAGCCGCAGACTCGCGCGTGCAGCCAGCACGAGCGGAATCTTTCTCATCCCGCGCCTCTGATGTGCGGCCGACGCTTACCTCACCGAAAGAAGCAACCAGCTCAGCCCTGCAGCAAGCTGAAGAAGCTGGTGGCGAAAGCGCCACCACACAGAAATCATCGATAGATCATTATGAGGCCAAGCTGGAGCCACCGGTTGGAATTCAGGTGGGGCCGGAGACGGTCCAAGACACCGAGGTGGAGAAGCTGCCGATGTCACATGATAACTCCGAGGTCGGCGATTTCCAAGACATTGCCGGCGACAAGGATGCGGGCGCCGAGGCCGACTGCAGTGCCATCAAAACCTCGGATATCGGCCATGCCAACGGTCACATTCACGAACATGCCACCGCTCATGTCAACGGCAATGCCAATGCTGCCCACTTTGATGCCGAATCTGATCCAGAGGCAGACGCCGAAGGTGATGGCGAAGCAGACGAGTCTGGGGAGGAGAAGATTGCGTCGGCCGTGTTCCTGCCTCACCAGGAGCTGGATGAAAGCCGCGCAAGCGTGAGTGAGGGTAGTGACGGTGATGCGATTCGGCGGCCCAGAGCGCACTCGCTGAGTAAAAAGCATCCCTGGCTGGTCAAGGCCGATGAGCCTGAGCCGGAGATGGAGACGGAGGAGGAGGAGAAAAAAGAGGACAGTTCCTACCAGGTTTCGCATGTTGCATCCCGTGAGAGCCTTGCTTCCCGCCGTGGAGAGATTCTCCCGCTGGAAATCCATGTCCCGACCGAAGCTGTCGTGGACGCCGAGACCGAAGTGAACCAAGTTACCCCTACTAAGCCCCGAGCCGTGACCCACTATGAAGACCATGTGCATGACCACCAACATCAAGCACGCCGACCTCTAGAAGCCATTGAGCTGATTCCATACAAGCACCAAGTTGGCGGCCACAATACGCTGTGGCGATTCTCTCGCCGAGCCGTCTGTAAGCAGCTCAGCAACCGAGAAAACGAGTTTTATGAAACCATTGAGAGATATCACCGTGACTTGCTGCCATTCCTCCCCCGGTATGTTACTAATAAGCTTTCCCCGGTTTATAATATCCATGCCCGGCATCCCTATGTTTCTCCAGCCCCCTCTCCCCTCCTGCATTGAATCTGTTCCTTTTGCCCCTCTTTTTCATAACGTGAATTGTAACATTAAATGCTAACTTTATCACTTTTAGGTACATTGGAGTGTTGAACGTAACATTTCAGAGAAAACCTCGGAGAAAAAGCACCGTTAGAAAAGATGAAACGGCTGATAAACGCAATCCCGACTCAAATGGTAACGGCGATGCTGAGCAGACTCCATCTACCCCTGCGCGCGTCATCAGCCAATCACTTGCCAGCTCCAATGCCACCATCCCTACCGTGACTTTCGACGATAACTGGCACATCCTTCCTCGCAACCTTCTCCAGCCGACACCTGAATTAGACACGCCGCACCGCCGGAGCACGTCTCTCTCCAAGATATCTTCAGGAGCGCCAATTGCGTCCCAGCATCCCGTGCGGCCTCACATGGAAGAGCGCCCCAACAGCTGGGGAGCTACGACGGTGAATAAACGACTACGAAATGAAGTGTTCAATGATGCATTCCTTAAACAGCCAATTGCGGTTCAGAAGCATCGACGCCCGTTTCAGCGAGCTGTTCCTTTGCCAACCCTCCAGCGATTGCTCCGAACTAGCAATTCAGATCCGAACCTAGCCCAGGGCCCCGAGAGCCCTGCTAAGATTGAGGAAACTCGCGGGACCACGTCTATTCCGGTAAAGCCCTTGACGCCACTCGTGCAGCAGATGAGCGATCCCGAGTCCCAAGCTAGCCACCTCGCAGTCGAGCGGGAGGCCCCTGTCGAAGTCAAGGATGTCACGGGTACTAGTGCTCCCGAACCAGAAACACTAACGGCCAACCTGACAGCAAAGAAGAAGCGACGGTATTCTGGAAGTGGGCTTCGGCGCAAACCACAGGACGTACGCGACTCACGGGGAGATTTAAAGTACTATGAAGAGGCCGATGGCATGGAGTACAAGCGCGAGGGAGACGACAAGGACACTGCACTAGAAGTACCAAACAAGGACATCACGGCGGCCAACGAACTTGGCACTGAAGATGTGATTTCTGATGCTCCTGTCTTTACTCAGGAGCCTGATCCTGCGGACTACTCGGCAACAGTTGCAGACACTGTACCACATCCGGCTGTGGAGTTTGGACCAGTTGTTCGGCCAAACAATCCCAAGGAAGCAAAGTCTCAGCGCGACAGAGTAGAGTACTTTTTACTACTGGAAGACCTCACGGCGGGCATGAAGCGACCTTGTATGATGGATCTCAAGATGGGGACTCGCCAGTACGGCGTCGAAGCTTCTCCCAGCAAACAAAAGTCCCAGCAAGAAAAGTGCAGGAAGACGACCTCGGCGGAGCTTGGAGTGCGCATTTGCGGGCTGCAGGTCTGGAATTCCAAGACTCAAACATATGACTTTCAAGACAAGTACTTTGGCCGAAAAGTAAAGGCCGGCAACGAGTTTCAGGCTGCCCTCACCAAGTTTCTCTATAACGGGGTTGATTTGCACTCTATTCTTCACCATATTCCAATCGTACTGCGAAAGCTTTCACAACTAGAGCAAATCGTGAGCGAATTGCGCGGCTACCGCTTCTATGCTGCGAGTCTCCTCATGTTCTATGACGGCGATGCCACTGATGAGAACGGGGGATACGAGACGGCATACGAGTCCATGACAGATGCGGCGACCGATACCGAAGAGGTAGCCATTCGGAAGAAGAAGAATAAGCGGGAGATTGATTTCAAGATTGCAGACTTTGCCAACAGCCTCACTCCGCTGGACAAGGTGGAGGACAAGCCATGCCCGCCGCAACATCCCAACCAACCAGACCCTGGCTTTCTCAAGGGCCTCCGGAGTTTGAAGAAGTATTTTTTGCAGATCCAGCGAGACACCAGAGCCGAGCTGGGGCTTGATCCTCGCGGATGGAGCTCCGGTCAAGGCGGTGATTCAATGATGTCTATTGATGACGAAGAGGACGAGGGGATGATGAGTGTATAATTTGCCCCATACAGAGGAATCTGGCCGTCTCGAGCTTGCAGCGATGCCTCTTCTACACCTTTCTGTCTTTTCCATTCTTTTCCTTTCTTTTCGGATTGTTTTGCTTCACTTTTTTTTTTTCATTGTCTTTTGACGCTACGACATGCTGTTTACGATTTTCATTTCTTTACAATGGATACCAGACCAAGCGTAATAGCGGGATGAGCTCTCAAGGCTTCATCAACGACTTGAGCTTGAGCGAATGACGACGACCTATGAAGCTTTCTTGTAATGCTAGCATGTTATTGAGAATTTCTTTTTCTTTCTCTTTGTTATACCTTGTCGTCATAAGGCTGGTTTCATCTTTAAAAAACCCATTCGGATAGTATTCATGGCCAGGTGGCCAAGGAAAAGGAAACATCACTCATTATTCATTTTACGGATTCGAGCGAAGCATCTCTCTCAGTTTCGCATTATAAACGCTGTTTAACAGACACCCGTTTGTTCCAGCGTTTGAATCACGTTGTTCTTACTATCAGCACTTTTCCCAATTCTTTTCTTTTCTTTCCTACTTGTTTTTATTAACCGGTTTTTTTCCTCTCGGCGGACTGGTGGATGGACGGAACGGCATAGGCGAATACTAGGGGCGCAGGTTCCTTTTGCTTTTGCTTTTTTCTATGCCAATTTTTTAATGTGTGTTTTTCTGTCTGGATTGGAACGAGATTGATACTTAGAGCGTTAGATAAAAAATTGAATTGAATGAATTGATTTGAGAAGTTTGAAAAGTGATTGATGGTGTATAAGATGGCGGCCCAAGCAGTGCGGAGATTCGGAGCATCGGCTGTCGGACCGCTTTTGTGAGCCAAATTAGAACCAGCATCACTAACGATGTCTAGAACAATATAGCACATGTAAATAGCACAACTCTAGGATTGCTTTTTTGGTTATCTCTAAACTGGCGCTTTCATTATTATCACCTTGGCAACTCAACTTCGGGGGAGTTGAAGATATAATAAAAAGATTTCAGCAATGGGCGCCGTCATTTCATATCTCCAGGGCGGCATCACGACCATCACAAGCGTTATCCGCACGCTCTCAGCCCTCAATGCAAAATACCAGTCTCTCCTCCAGCGAGTCCACGCCGGGCCATTTACGCCCGTTGCCAATCCCACGGTTTCATATTGGATGCAGGATCCGCCGTTTCCAGAGATGTGCGACATTCAAGGCGATTTGCCAGAGGAGGCGGACGTGCTTATTATTGGGAGCGGCATTACGGGTGCTGCTGCTGCGAAGACGGTGCTTGAGCTTTCATCATCTTTTAAACCTGAGTTGAAAGTAGTTGTTCTGGAGGCAAGGCAGCTGTGCAGCGGCGCAACGGCTCGGAATGGCGGACACATCAAGTGCGCGCCTCATGAGGAGTTTGCGCGGCTGAGGAGGACGCTGGGAGAGGACAAGGCGAGCAAGGTTGTGAGGATGGAGATGCGGCATTTGGAGGTTTTGAAGGGGGTTGGAGAGGAGGTGATGGGCGGGGAGGTGAGGGAGGTTGAGACGGTGGATGTTTGTCTTGATGGGGAGGTGTTTAAGAAGTTGAAGAGGAGTGTGGGGGAGTTGCGGGAGTGGATGCCCGAGGTTGAGGTTTGTGCTTGGGAGGAGGATGAGGCGAGGGAGAGGGTGAGTTGTTTTGAAGAGTTGAGAAGAGAGATGCTGACTTTTGGGGATGGTTGTAGTTTGGGGTGAATCAGCATGTTGTGGGAGCAATCTCTTACAAGGCGGGTGCTCTGTGGCCGTATCGTCTCGTCACAAGCACATGGAACGACTTGATCCAGCGATATCCTAATCTCGTCATCAGCACACACACTCCAGTCTCATCCATTACTTCAAATAGTGATGCCTTAACATCAACTTCCACACCGTACATACTCCACACATCACGCGGCCTTGTCCGCGCAAAACACGTCCTCCACGCGACAAACGGGTACACAGGCCATCTCAATCCCGCCCTGAGAGGCTGCTTAACAGGTGTGATTGGCCATATGACGGCTCAAAGCCCTGGAAGCGGATTCGAGCCCGTGTGTCATGGTGATAGATCGTGGTCTGTTATATATGGCAATGGATTTGATTACGTGACGCAGCGACCGGATGGAGAGGATGGGTCTGCGGGGGATTTGATGCTGGGAGGGGGCTTGTTTAGGAGTAAAGATGAGGGATTGGACCAGATTGGTGTTTGGGATGATGGTCGGATAGATGCGTTTCCGCTGATGCATCTGAGGGGCAGCATGGCGACGGTGTTTGAGCCGAGATGGGGAGTTGGGGGGGAATTGAAGGGGGCGTGGACGGGGATCATGGGGTTTACGGGCGATATGCTTCCCTTTGTGGGGGGTTTGCCTTGCGGATTGGATATATCGAGGAAAAGAGCACGAGGGGGCTTTGAAGAGGGGGCTTGTGGACAGTGGCTGGCTGCTGGGTTTAACGGAGAGGGCATGGTGTGGGCTTGGCTGAGCGGCGTGGCGGTGGCTGTCATGATGCTGGGCTTGGAGGAGGACGATCTGGAGGAGGCTGTGGGACGGCCGGGGGGGAGGTTGGATGAGTGGTATCCGGTGGAGGAGGTTGAGGTTGATACGGCGAGGCTGAGGAGGGCGGATTTGACGAATCTGGCTGGTGAGGTTTGATGAAGGATATTTATATTACATGTCTATAACGGCGTCTTTACAGCTTCGCCTTGTTCTCCTTGCGCCACTGCTCAACCCACACCTTTCCAAACTCCTTCCTGTCCGCGTCCTTTCTCGTATCCTCCTTGAACCGCGCCTCCTCCATCTCCAGTCCCGCACCAGTCAGCTCCTTTACAAGATCTTTATAAATCTCCCTCTTAATCGTCCCGTACACGCCCTTCTTGGGCTTCTCCAGCAATTGTCTCTCTGCCACAAACTTGAGCGCGTCCTCTAATCCGCCCGCCAACGCATCCGCAATGCCCTCGTCCACTGCTTCCTGGCCGGTGAAGCGGTGGCCCTCGAGGGCGACTTTGCGGAAGAGCGCGTTGGAGGGCAGTTTTGCGCGGAAGAGGGACGCCATGGCGGGCTGGAGGTGGGCGCCGAAGAGGACCTCGTTGAGGCAGATGAAGCCCTTTGGGGAGGGGGCGAGGCGGTAGTCGTGGGCCATGGCGAGCATGAGGCCGCCGGCGTAGGCGTGGCCGTTGATGAGGGCGACGGTGGGCATGGGGAAGCTGTGGTTGTTAGCTGGTGATGATGATTTGGTGTTTGGGTTTGTTACGTTATGAGACGCTGCCAGACGGAGTAGAACAGGGCCCAGAAGCCCTCCGTCTCAATGGCGTGCTGTAGGTCTAGCCCATTGCTGTAGAATTTGCTGATGCCACTGGTGGTGATGAGAACTCCGGGAGGGTGGCCGCCGAATTCAAGAAGATCGAGAGCTGCGAGGAGGGCTTTGCAGACGGGGGTGGTGAGGCGGTTGTCCGGGGGTGAGACGAAGGTGAGCAGGTAGACGGCCGGGGAGGGCTCGGTGACGGTGATGGAGCCGCCGGGATGGGGGCCGAGGGGGGCGATGGGCACGGAGAAGAGGGTTTTTGACATGGTGATGAGAGGATAGTTTTGATGAGAAGAGATGAAGTTGTGAAAGATGAGTGAGATGGGAATGGATTAAAGGGTTATGGCGGTTGAGTGGCTAGGCTGTCGTCTACCTCGGCATTTTTCTGAGGTATGGAGAAGGGTCGATGACACCCGAGTTCTTGAAAACCTACACAGTTCCAACTGATCAAAGTACAATCTAGCTGTAGTTTACGAGCCCTTGACATGTAACTGATTTACCAAGGCATCAGCTGCGATTATTAAACACCAGATCCGAGCATCTCGATATCGTTTGTTGCTATAGAGCAGTACATTCCGGGCATGTCGTCGCATGTGATACCCACGCCGTGTTTTAGCTCCAAGCCCGCACCTTCAGGCAGCTCCCTGTACTTCTTCTCCAAGTACCGCGTCTTCCGTCCCGAATGCTGCAACAGCCATCGCGCACTAAGCTTCTTCCGGACTAGCCCAATTTACCCCACAATGTAGCTTCATCCAAGCTCCAACTTGCTCCAACTCCAAGTGGCATCTTTTTTCAACAACACCAGACACTTCTCGCCATGTCGTTACAAGCAGACGCCCCGCCTGCTCCAGACGGCACAATCGTCTTTTTTCACCCGGATTTGGGGATTGGTGGCGCTGAGCGGCTGGTTGTCGATGCGGCGGTTGGGCTGCAGCAGCGCGGACACCACGTTGTCATTTTTACGAATCATTGCGATCGTAACCACTGCTTTGACGAGTGTCGCGATGGTGAGTGGCTGAACACGTGGATTGATAGTAGTCTTCAATTTGCTAACTGACTTCATATGCCAGGCACCCTCGATGTCCGCGTCCACGGCGAATGGCCCATCCCCATGTCCATCTTCAACCGCCTCACCATCGTCTGCGCCATCCTGCGCCACATCCAGCTCCTCGTCCAGATCGCGCTCTCTGGCGAACTGAAAGCTCTCAAGCCCCGCGCCTTTGTCGTCGACCAATTATCCGCCGGTCTTCCGCTCTTGCGATTCATCGCCCCCGATGCGCCGATTCTTTTCTATTGCCACTTCCCAGATCTCTTGCTCGCGCAGGGACGGCAATCTGCGTTAAAACGACTCTACCGACTGCCTTTTGACTGGATTGAAGAGTGGTCCATGGGATTCGCGCAAGCTGTTGCTGTCAACTCCGAATTTACAAAGGGTATTGTGGCGAGGACGTGGCCACGGTTGAAGGAAAAGGTGGACACGAAAGTTGTGTATCCATGCGTGGACACAACGGTCGATTCATCAGCGAATGATGAAGCATCGCTAAGCGGCAGTCCCAAGGTTATTCTCAGCATCAATCGATTCGAGCGGAAAAAGAATATTGGGCTGGCTGTCAAGGCCTTTGCTGCCATTCCTGAGGAGGACCGCCGATGGGTGCGTCTTGTTCTAGCAGGTATGTTGTATCTTCTACTTCTGTGTTTACATACATCTGTGATACTAACCAATTAAAGGCGGTTACGATCCCCGAGTCGCCGAAAACGTCGAATACCACACCGAGCTCGAAGCCCTCGCCACCTCCCACTCTCTCAAACATCACACCCTCACATCTTTCGACGCCGCCTCTTTTTCCTCCATCCCCCACGAAACCTCCGTCCTCTTCCTCCTCTCTATACCAAACCCCACCAAGACCTTATTCTTGGGTGTAGCCCGCCTATTAGTCTACACTCCATCCAACGAGCATTTTGGCATTGTGCCCCTCGAGGCCATGCTTGCCCGTGTACCCGTCCTCGCCGCCAACACGGGCGGTCCTGTTGAGACGATCCAGGACATGAAGACTGGCTGGTTGCGCGATCCGGAAGATGTTGACGCGTGGTCGGCTGTCATGCTTAGCGTGCTGAGAATGCCTGACCAAGATGTTCGTCGAATGGGCGCTGATGGCGAAGAGCGTGTGCGGTCTCTTTTTGGGCGCGATAACATGGCTTTGCGGCTTGAAACGTCTATAAATGAGATACTTTCTCAGAAGTATGCCCGGCCATCTTTGTTAATGCCACTTAGTATCGTGATTTCTCTTTTGTTAGCAGTATTGGCGATTTACATCCAGATTTCATAAATAGCCTATGTCTTTTGATTTCGCTTCATGTATATAAGTTTCACAACTACGGCTATTTCCCACAAAGCTGGAATCGAGTATCATAGATACTGGTTTACCCAAATCGCATAAAACAAAGAAGCAAGTATTTCCTTCTAGCTCAACATCTTCTCACATCTAGTTTCCTATCTCGTTCCATGTACCCGGCATACCGGAAATATCCATCCCCTCAATCTCCCCTCTCTCCCTTTGGTTTTTTTTCTTTTGAGGCGGCATTATGACGTCCCAATACTCAAACATATATTCTCCATTTGACTACACATTTTTAGTGACCTTTTCAAATTCCCTCTTCGCTAATTCGACTAAGCGGCTCTCTTTTGCTCCAGCCGCAAAATGTTCCTGATAGTATGAGCTGGTAACAAACTCATGCACTATTGATACGTCCCAGAGTAATATATCATTTCCTGATCCTCCTGCTATCAACTTCGAGTCATGTGAGAAGACAGGTGTATAACCGCCAGGCTCGAGCGTGTATAGGCATTCACCAGTTGCGCTATCCCAAAGCTTGTGTATTTGATCAGCTGACCCTGATGCTACTAATCTTGAGTCGTGCGAAAAGGCAACTGAAAGAACTTCTTGATTATGGCCTTGGAATGTGTGTAGATATTCACCCGTTGCGCTATCCCAGAGCTTGATTGTTTCATCTTCTGAACCTGATGCTACTAGTCTTGAGTCGTGCGAAAAGGCAACTGAAAGAACAAAATGACCATGGCCTTGGAATGTGTGTAGACATTCACCCGTTGCGCTATCCCAGAGCTTGATTGTTTTATCAGCCGACCCTGATGCTACCAATTTTGAGTCGTGCGAAAAGGCAACTGAAAGAATTTCTTGATTATGGCCTTGGAATGTATGGAGGCATACACTAGTTGTGCTATCCCAGAGCTTGATGGTTTTATCAAATGACCCTGATGCTATTATTTTTGAATCATGCGAGAAGACAACTGAATAGACAAGATCGCTATGACCATTAAATGTGCGTAGACTTTTGCCAGTTGCGCTATCCCAGAGCTTGATGGTTTGATCCACTGACCCTGATGCTATTATTTTTGAATTATGCGAGAAGACAACTGAATGGCCAGAACCGCTATGACCATTAAATGTGCGTAGACATTCGCCAGTTGTGCTATCCCAAAGATTGATAGTTCCATCTCTGGACCCTGACAAGATCCACTTTGAGTCATGAGAAAAAGCCACCGAATAGACAGTATCACTGTGGCCACGGAATTTGCGTAAGTAGGCAGGCTTGTCTCTAAGAAGCATCAGCCGTACTATTTCATGGTGTCCTCTATCCATGGCCCAACGAACTTCCGAGCGAATATCGACCCTGTTCATGTTGAGCAGCAGTCTGGCGACATCCCGGTGGCCCTTCATAATTGCCCAGTTGAGCGGCGTCCGTCCAAAAATGCCATCTTTATGCTCAAGTCCAGTCTCGTCAGTAGCAAGAAGCGACCGAATCTCATTGAGCTCTCCTTTTATTGAGGCTGTAATCCACCGCGTCCATCGCTTGTCTTCAGCCAAAATATCGGTGGTCTCGTCGAATAGCACGTCCATTATATCAATGTCACCCGTTCCCACAGCAGAATGAAACGGTGTCCAGCCATCTCCACAGCTTTTGGCGACGTAAAATTCTTTCAGTCGCCTCTGTGCATCTACCACATCTCGGGAGTTCTCAGGTTGTCTCTTCCTTATATCTCTTTGCTTCTCCTCCAAACGTCGCATCTCTTGAGTTGTTGATTGTTCTTCTTCAACAAGCACGCTCTTTCTCGTTTCAAGTAGTTTGATTTCTTTTTCTACTGCCTCTCTCTTTTCCTCAATGTCTCCCAATTGGCTCTTGCATTCTTCCTCTCTTTGGCTCAGATCCTTCATGTCCACCTCGTTTTCCGTCCTTTCCCACAGCAATCTTGTTGCCTCCAGCATTGTGGCCAAGTTTTCCAACGCCATTGTCGCATTAATTGTACAGCGTGGCGGGCTAGCCATTTCTTCGGGGATGATGGAGATTATGTTTCCTTCCATAGATTCAAGTTTAATACGCAGATTAAAAAATTTGTTACTCGCACTTGTCAGTTGTAACACTTCTAGCGTCTCTCGCTGAAACTTTCCGGCTATCTCTTCCAGCGCAGTATTTTGGTGGCATGTAAAAACGCAATACAATTGGTCCGTGCGAGAATCCGGCTGGCGGACTTCGACCACTATTACAAAATCGAGGGACTGTTCCTTGCTTTGACGAGCTCGAATTAATATTTGATCAGTGCCTGTCTGCGAGATTAAGGCCAGTTGATCATCCCAGCAGATACTAGGAACCACTTCGATAATTTGCAAGCCAAGTTTAGCAAACAAATCCACATCATAAAACATATACTGCTGGTTCTTTGCCAATATATGATTTTGACCGTCCTTTTTGATGTGGATAAGCTCGGGTGAAGCATCAGACGTAGGTAACGGTTGAAGTCTTGAAGGGGAACCCCTTGGCCTCACATATTCGTTCGCCACGGCCGATTTTATCTTTGCAAGAGGGATTGCAGCGACTATCTTTGTATCAGATTTAGGGCCACAGCTGAGCAATCCAAGAGTTTCACCAGAGTCAATCGTAACCAGTGGCAAGTAGGCCCTCAGAGTCCCGCCATAAATATCTAGTGAGTGCAGAGGATTGGTGGTTTGCTCTCGGGCGACGATTTGCCCAGAATCTGCAAAATCTGATGGAGAGGCTGCTAATATGTCTCCATGAATGAATGTATCTTCGCCAATGAATAGTTGAAAATTGCTCATAGACGATTCGTTATTTAGGCCCCACGCCAAGATAGAGTCATCTCTCGTCGTCCTCATAATCTGCTCCTGAAGTCGAAAAAAGGCCTCTCTGCCACCCTCTCCATATATCATTGGCATTGTTATGCCAAATATCCCCAACAAGCAATATGCAAGATCTTCAGCCCGTTTGGTTTCTCTTTGCGCAGCCCAGGACATACGCTGTGCAACGCTTTCAGTGTGCAGTTTAGCAATGCCTAGTAAAATTTGACGTGGCACATGGGTTATCTCCTGAACGACAGTGCATTTGCTACCCTTCGTGCCTATAATATGCCAAACTGCGTTATAGAACCGTAAATGCCTAGGCGCGAGAAGTTCTTGTAACGTCCATCCTCTGGTGAACCACCGACTTGTCCGGAATTTAGATCCCAGAACAGAGGAGTCGTCGCCAGCCGGAACATCAGATAAATAAGCGTAACAGATAATCGCGAGGCTATACCATCGGAACATGGAGTTGATGGCTTCGCCAAGTTCAACTAGATTTGTTTTATCGATGCAGCAGGTGTCGATCCAAGCATAGCCAATTGAATCCACTTGTGCCTGCTCACAGCACTTTCGGAACTTGGCCAAACCAATTTGTTTTTGTTTATCATTTATCCCATCTATTCCCTTTCGAACATCGGCGAAGGTAAGCTCTTGGGAGTCGGAGCCCCAGGTGTGCGACAGAATCGCATAAGGGGGGATCCATCCATCCTCAAATTCTTCCAGCTTAAGTGTTTTGGTATTGATCAGACGCATAATGAAAGCAGAAGTAGTAAATTAAGAGACAAGATGTTTGAAAAGACGTATTCTCTAGTGCCGGATATAGTTGAGACGTAGCTGCTTTGGAGTCTCAGATACCAAATATTGGAAAGCATATAGGGCGGGGACTTCATCTAAATACCTTGAAATATAGAGTTGGGCCGCTACACGTGAGGAGATGATGCCTGAAAAGCAACTCCGTAGGCATGACTCTGCTATGATAGGTGCAGAGGAAGATGCAGTAATACCGTACTGGATCCCCATTGGGACGAAAGGAATCAAAATCAGGCTGGGCTACCACGTATCAATGCATAGGCATATGCAACCTTATCGCCGAAACAGAGGCCCCATGACCAATTTTATGGACTGACAAAAACATGAAAGAATTGAGGGAAAGATGCAAGAGACGAAATCAGCGGTTGAGAATGTATACCTGATTACGTACAGTCATGCTTGCCTTCTTAAGCTACCAGTGCAGTATTGATACCTCGCAGCCTGATGGCGAACACATACGAATACACGGCGAGAGAAACAAGAAACCCAGCAAGGTAAAATAGAACGCATTCATATTAAACAAGTAGCTACCAACGCCAAACCAACATCAATCTATTGCATTTCAAGCATAAACCACATCAAGCAAATCCCATTGATTCCACCACCATTGCCATACCACCCACAGCCCAAAAAAAAAAAAAAAAGCAGAAAAAAAAGAAACTCCCGTCCCATTATCACAATACTCCATAAAGCACAAACCTCCCGAAAAAATAAACCTCAATCTCATACGTAACTGAAGCATCCATAGACCAATCAAGACAAAAGGAAAAGAGAGCAGTAAAAGCGACCAGTAGAATGAATAAAAGAAGAGCAATAAAGAAGATGAAAAGAAAAGTTGGGAGAAAGAATACGAGAGACAAGGAAGAGAGATCCATTCTACTTTCAGTCCTTCAAAAGCAAAGTATCAGTAGTTGTTGTTTTTTCTGTTTGTCTTTTCAAGCAAGCAAGCAGCCGAACAAACAAATAAACAAAGTACAAGCAAATAAACCTCCAATGCAATGCAAAAGCAAAAGCACAACGCCTTCCCATCCCAGAGTTAAACCCTCCTTTCTTCCTTCCCTTTCCTCCTCTTTCCAGTACTCAAGCAAACGGGTATGCGACAAAAGGAATACACCGAAAAATATGTTTCCTTGAAGCTCCGGTTATCCATCCCTTTTGGTAATGATGCAGATAATAATGATATGATATGAAGATAATGTGGTGATAATGAAGATGATGTTATCTTTGATTTATCCCCGCCGTCGTGTGTGGTTTCCAGCCATGCCAGTAGCGCTTGTATAAGTCCTCTTTCTGTCCGGTAATTATAAATGTATATATATTTCGCTTAAAGAAGAATGTCCACATGAAATACAAAAAAGAAGAACCGAACAGCGCTGTGGCCGACCCACTCAAAGTAATAAACTCCTAGGTATGCCTAATTTCATGATCTTGGAGAGATGTCGACTCTCCTAGCAGTCTCGTCACTTGCCGTGCTCATGTTTGTATCGCGTCGTCTAGCCTCAAAGGGCCGATGTCTGGTCGTGACTGGTGGCCGCTTCTTAGGCTTGGCCATCATCACCAAAAGTCCCTCATCGCTATCATCATCCTCTTCCTCCTCTTTGCGAGGATGGCTTGTCGGTGCTGGTGGGCGCGTGTCATCAGTGCTCACTCGCAGCGAAACGCCTTCCATGGATGTATTTTTCTCAAAGACTTGGTCAAGAGGAAAGCCATTGACAGGCTCCTTTGGCAGGGCGGGAGGAGTGAGCGAATCCTTGGAATCTAGAAATGCACCTTGCGGGCCTACCGTGCCTGGTCTAAGCAATAGCTCTCCCTCTAAATCTGCCGAAACAGAACTGGCACCGCTGAGAAGGGCAGGCAGCGACGGATCAGACTGAAAGGCGAGCATTCGCTGCGATGCATTCGTCGCTTGTGGGCAAGCAACCACGGGACTAGCAGTTTCGCTTGGGCTGGTCAGTGGTGTCCCAAGATGATCCATCGAGTCCGTGCTCGATGTCTTGGCAATTTCTATAGTGCCTCGGCGTGACTGAGCGTCGGGTTGCCAATCTTGATGCGCAATACGTGACCACTGACTCTCCGAACCCATATCCACTGAGCCGTCTTCACTCACATACGAGGCAGAATAGGTGGGACCGGGGCTTTTCAGGACGGAGGGGCGCGAAGGCGACTTGATGTCAATGCCATTGGCCACACGGTGAGCGGTGGTTGGGCGCTCCTGGGGTATGTTGTGATGAAAGTTTGGGTCCGATTGAAGATGCCTGTGTTGCTGGTAGGTCGAGGAATGGACGGCATGAGGCGACGAGGACAGGGGTGATGATGAAAGTACGTAGCTATATCTATTTCTCCCCAGATCGACAGAGCGCATTGACCGCGTGCTTCGCAGGCCTGGAATGTTTCCAGGGGCCACGGAAGTGTTGAGAGCTACTTGAGGCGTGGCTCGTTTGTCGTGGCTCGCAAAGAGACTACGGTCCGCAGAAGGGGAGCGAAAAGTGCTTTGTCCGAGAGCGTTGAGCTCTGCTCTTGCGCTTGGCAACTCTATCTGGAAAGAGGTACGCCTTTCATACAAAGGAGTAGCTGGGACAGTATGAGGTCCACCAATGTGAGGAGTCAGGGGCAAGAACTGCGGGCCATTTCTAGCACGTATGGTGCCTCCTCCGCTGCGGCCATTCACGCGACCGGCAGGGCGAAATTCCGACGTTGCCGCCTCATCTAGTTCACTGTGAGAGCGGCCTCGAGTGACAGCATGTGGTGTTTCGAGGGGACGCAAGACAGTCGCCAGGGGATCGTATGCTGCAGTTTCTCCAACATTGGCCGCCGCCACCGAATCAGAAAAGCGCGGGTCAACATTTGACAAAAAGTCCTTATCCAAAGGGGGGAGAAAGTCGCCTGTGTGAAGGCTGCGGCGCCTATCGATGTGAGGAGTGGGAGGCATCGTAGCAGGAAGAGGTGGTACAGCGATGGTAACGGGCCGCGGCATGCTATCGCCTCCAGAACTAGCGACGCTACTCGTAGCTCTTTTACGGGATCGACTTTCGCTGCGGTCGACCAATGGATGCACGACTCTCGCAATCGTCTTCTTGACGGCCGATCGAGCACGTTCGAGAAAGGTAAGAGGCACGACAGCAGAAGAAACCTCCTTTTCGTTGACGAGAATCTTGCTACCGCTTGTTGGCTTGGCCGGGTCAGTCTCCTCCAGCCACTGTCTTGGGTTGGCGAGTCCTTGGAGAACCCATGGGTGCCGCTTGATGTCCTTGAGGCGGATTCGCTTTTCTGGATTCTTGGTGAGCATCTTGCGCAGTAAATCGTACAAAAGGCCGTCGACGTCTTCGTATTTAACATCGTTGTCATCGCGATAGGGGTACGTGTTCTGGCGCTTGTAAAGAGACGTTACTGCTGGGGAGGTTGAGGGGTCCACGGGCATCAATCTCCTGCGCGGAATGTACACTTCCTCGGTGGCAATCTTCCTAAACATTTGAAATTCGTCCTCTGCCAGGAAAGGGATGCGCGCGTAAATGAGGCAGTACAGAGTTACACCTAGGGACCATACATCGATCTGTTCAGACACCTTGGGTTGGGGTTCGTCAGGGTCAGTGTAGCAAAGCTCCGGGGCGAAAAAGGCCGGGGTGCCAACGGTCTTGGAAAGCTCCAGGTCATCATCGAAATCCTGGGCTTCTGACTCGGATACCAAGTCATCAGGTTCACCGTCACGATTTGGTCGGCCGAAATAAGAAACACCAAAGTCGGAAATCTTGACGCGGTGGTCTTTGCTCCACAGCAAATTGGCAGGCTTGATATCACGGTGGACAACGCCATGGTAGTGCAAGTATTCAAGGCCTAGCACAGTGTCGCGGAAAGCAGACCGTGCCTGGTCAAAAGTGAAGCAAGGAACATAGGAAAAGTCGTCAGCAAAGGGGTCGTATGCACGAGGATTGTAGTCGATGGAGGACATGTGGGAGATGATGGAGTCAGCCATGCTGGGGGACCGTTCGCGAAAGCTCATGGTCTCATTGTTTGCATAGGACCCCCCAAACACGGATCCGTCCAAGGCGCTGGTGGACATTGCTGGTTGGGAGGGGCCGGGAGTGACGTGGTCATCCTGCCATTCGTCTTCTTCCCTGGGGTGAATGCCTGACGTGCCGGGCGAGGAAGAGTTGGAATAGGAACGGGATGGGGCCAGAGAGGACCGGCGGGAGATTGGCTGGGACATGGAGCCTTCAGTGGCAGCAAAGTCATCCTTGGAGGAGATGCGGGACCAAGGGCTTCCGGTGCTGATGTCGTCGGCAGCACCGTGCTCTACGCTCCAGTACTCATTTGGACCATTGAAGTGTTGGGCCATCCTGGCTCGCTTGATCTCTTTGAGGGCCTGGCGTCGCTCGAGATACTGGTCGTAGATCTGCTCTTCCTTGCTGGGCGCCTCTCCGTTCACTTCGCGCTCGGCTCGCTTCCGTTCATACCAGCAGACATGGGGCAGTCCCTTTTTACGCCACACAATCTCGCCCAGCTCCACGTGCTCCAGCACCATGTAAATCTTTTTGAGCTCGGGATCGTCGATGACTTCAAGCAGAGCAACGACATTGGGGTGTCTAATCTTCTTGAGGATGGCGATTTCCTTCTTGGTCTTGTCCTGGGGAGACAGGGCCGTGAGCTTGCCAAGACGGCGTTTCTTGGAAAAGCGCGGGATGATTTTGATGGCGACGTTTTCGCTGGTGCTGAGATTGCGGGCCAGCTTCACCTTGCCGTGCATTCCACGACCAATCTCTTCGATAACCTCATACTGATTGATTGATTTGCGGCCGGTGACGGTGTCCGAGTCGATGAGAGCTTTATGGGTCCTGTAATTGAGGGAGAAAAAAATCGTCAGCTAGTGTGTCTCAAGGGTGGCAGTAGAATGCCGCTGTTGCAATGCTGTCGAGAAAAAACAACACGGAATTCGATGCGGAAGCAGAGAAAACAAGGCAAGAATCCAAACATACTCTCTAACTCGGTGAGTCTGCAGCGGGTGCAAGTAGGGGCTGTCGAACGGGGGAGCAGGCGTGTTGCTCTCGGAGAGGGACGAGGTCGGGATATGGTGGGCGTGCCTGGCAACCGGGCTGAAGAGGCCCGGCGACGTCGTGGGCGTGCTGCTGGCGGTGCGCGGGGGGAGCGAGGACAATTGAGACAGCTGCGTGTAGAGAGCCGGCTTCGGCTGCTGCTGCTGCTGCTGGCTGTCCATGGCGGGCGGAGGGCGGATCGCAGCGAGGTGCTGTCGGTGATCTCGAGGAGGGGAGCGTGAGGGTTGGCGGGACGGCTCGCGAGAAGGGAGAATGCCTCGAATACAGGCCGATTCACAGCGCTGGTCAGGGAGGCACCTCACTAACGAAGCATCGTCTTGTGCAGACTGCGTCGAGGGGCTCCTGGCGGGCGAGGAGCACCAAAGGCGGGCGAGCTGAGGGAAACGGAAACGCGGGCGATAACAATGCGAGGCGAGGCTATGCGATGGCAGACGGCGACTGAGGCCGAGACGGGGCGCTGGGCAACGGCGAGACGGGTGCAGGCGACGGTGTCTTCAGAGGCACGCTCCTCGGTGGTGAGGCCTTTCGAGTTGTAGAGGTCGAGTCCTGTCTTGCTTCTGCTTTTCACTAAGTGGGCAATGTTGGATTGGTTATGGGGCAAAAAGCGAGCATGAAGGCGGCGAACGGCCTTGGAGCGGGCTGGCCAGAAGCGGATTTGCGGCTGCACAGTCTGAGCTGGGGCGGGGCGCGGGCCGCGTACGGAGTACCGCGCGCTGCGGTACCCTTGGCAGGGATGGCGGGCGCGCTGGTCGGCGGCTTGTCGGGGATCAAGGGCGCTGGCAGCCGAGGCCTGAAGGGCCAGACGGTTGGGATAAAGGGAGCGGTACCTGGGGCCAAAGTACCAAAGATAAGATCAATAGCGCGGCAGCGATTAGCACGTCTGGCGGTTGATAGTGTGGCATCGATCCGTTTAGCACTAAACCTTCTTGACGCTCCGCTAGCAAGTCGCAGCACTCCGTGTAAGCAGCGAAGCATTTGCAATGATTGTTCTGCGATTCTGTCAATATTACGAATCAGACACGCCACGAAGGCGCATCGCATGGGCGCAACGATTACGGAGCACATGCCTGCTGCAGGTAAACACTGCATATACCCAGACAGACACTGTTGCTGCCGGGCACATGCCTGGCCAGCCCCCTTATTCTGCGGACTATCCTGACTCTCTCCTCGCAATACCTCTTTGCAGCGCCATGGCCCCATTTGCGCCCCATGGTTCTGCGTCTGCAGCCAGGTTTGCGTCGCCAACACGGCTCCACGCTGCTTCATACCTCATGCCTCATGCCTCACACCTCACCTCACATTCGACTCTTGCGCAGCAGCCCAGGACCCGCAGCTGTATGTGCCGTTTCGCGCCAAGGACGTCACCACGGGCCATTAATCTCGCAGCGCGGCCGAATCATGGCGCTGCTGCCACTTATCTCTGGCCGTGGTGGTGGGCAAAGGCGAAAGTCGGAGCAGCAGCATGTGGGACAGGCGATGCAATTACCTAAGGCAGAGATAAGTGCTGGGCCGCGGCCAATTGGACGATCGCACTGTGACGGCCGGGTGACGAGTCACATCTGCTAAGTTGCAATCAGCGACCGCGCAGCTCTTGGGTGGCAGAAGATGCGCGCCGGGGCCGTGCGCGGTCTACAGTGCACTGTGCGATAAGGGGACTGTGGCGGCCGTCAACGGGACATTGTCATCGACATCATTGTCGACAGTTTGGAGTCTTGGTCGAGGCTGATGGATGCTTGTTGCGCTTAGCTAATGGCCGCAGCCAATCACACGGCCGCCTCCCCTCTTTTCCCTGCAACCTGTTGTTCCGGAGAAGTTCCCCCGGCTTTGCCGTCCCGGTGTCATTCCAATCAGGTTTTTCTCTCTTGCAGAGCACTCAAACTTAATCACGCCTCCATCTGCGATAACTGCCACAAACGACCAGTAGCAGTACTTCGTATAGTACCTGCCTACTCGGCGCCCTAATTATAGACGTCGCTCAACGCTCGCTCAACAAACAGCCGCTCCAACATGGGGAGGCGAGGCCGCCCGTCACTCAATATCACGCCAGAGGAGCGGCTCCAGCGCAGGCGATCACAGCTTGTTGCCTCTCAACGAAAGCGCAGGGCCCACAAACGCCTGTTATCCCAGCCATCGATGTCCAGTGAACAGCCCTGCGCGGCAACATCCGAGACGCTGCTACCGGCCGTACCGACTGCGTTGCCCGTCTATGATGCCATGATGCCGGGGCACCGCACGGGAGTCGCCGTGTCTCGGCCGCAAGGCGTCGCAGCCACCGTCACAAACACAACTGCAAACGAAACATCGTCACCGAACGCTCGGTCACCGCCGCCTGCAGTTTGTCACCGCTGCGGATCGGCTCCTCTCGACACGGCCGCAACACCCGCGGCCGTGTCGCCCACTTCACCGGCAAGTCTATTGAGGACTCGTCAACTTGGAACAGATACTCATGCGTTATCCTCTAGACTCGCGAGCCCGATGCCGCCATCATCAATATGGGCTGACACCAACGCGAACGAGCCCGACGCGGGCACCAACAAAGCCTCATATACATACATAGCCAGTCATGCGTCATTATATGACCGGGGATTCGATTCCTCCGACTGTGTTGGTAGCAACACCCTACTAAGCGAGGAACTCGAAACGAGTGCGGCCTGGCTGAAACACCCCGCGCACGCTCTCGCGACAGGGATAGACAATGTCTTTTTCCCAGGGAGAGCGACCTTTACCGCAGACTCTCTGTGGATGCCATCGTCGTCTCCATCAGATGAGGGCCCAATGTTGACTGGCGCGACATTGTGTGGCCCAATCTTGGAGGCATGCAGCCCGATGTTGAGTGACGATGGCATAGAGTTTTGGACGCCATGGACGGGAGCTAAGCAAGTACGTCTCTGTTTATCTCCCCAACCGATGTCAAATGCACCTTGCTGGATGGCATTTACGCTTTTACACTTTTTGAGGCTGATGGCTAATTTTCTTATCTTTCTGCCAGGCGATCCCTATGGGCTTTTGAGATTTATTCTTGCACGCGCAACCGAGCGCCGCAAACGAATATCGAAATCTCACATTTGCATTAGCATGAGTCGAAGATCGACTTTACCATTTTCTCGGGCATTTACAAGCTCCACATCCCCGGGAAATTGATACGCAGATTTGTGGAAGCATGTGATATTGGCGCAGCATTACTAAAGTACAATGGATTTTAATACGGAGAGCTATGGTGGAGACTGAGCTGGATATGTTACAATTCGGTAATCAGAAAATGAATTCGGGAACAAAAGCGTGAATGGAAAGCCTGCTTTTTCTCCAAACCGCCTGTATCTGATTAGTGGTGGCCTGTCATTTGCTCAGCTGGCTATTTTTAGGGGCCGCATGACATGACGGCTTAGAAATGGCATACTAGTAATCTTTAACGGGCGTTTTGTCTTGGGTACGGTACACAGTATCACAATTTTGGCCTCGCCATTGTGTGTCGCCCATTGTGTGTGACGCCAAGGATGGGATTTTATTACAGGCAGCCGTTATTGGTCGAACCGCCGCACTGGAAGGATGCGGAACAATAGAGAAATTATAACTTGAAACTTGGAAACTCCTTTCTGGGTTGATTACTAGACTGCTACCTACCTGTTCGTGGCAGTGTCCGTGACTCAGGTTTGTCATACACACATGCGTTTGAGAGCACGTGTGCCCTTTTTCTTAGTGAGAAGTGGTGGATGGGAAGAGAGCCGGTGGTTTGATTCCAAGTGCCGATGATACGCGTTCGTGGTGTTGAATGTGACGGGGGCAGGTTATTGGCGAAGCTGGGCGGCAGTTGATACTGTTGTTGCTGCTTAATTTGATGCTACTAGGGTTGCGAGCGCGAAACTGGCTTTTTTGCTTTTCTGTTATGCGTTTGGATGGTGTGCGAGAAGTGATTGATCATGATGCTAGTGATACACTGTCTACGTGTCGTATTTCCGTGTTTTCCCTGAGCCACATCTCGGGGCGAGACAAAATCGGCGAGATGGATCAGGATTCCGCCTTTTCGATCCTTTATGAAAAAGACAATGTGTGAAACTGTCGGGGGTGAGACTCTGCTTGGGTCTGAGTGTGGCCCAAGCACGGTGTTGTTTTAGATGATGGGTGGTATTGTTTATTCCCTTTCCGGTAGCACTTCGAAATGAGGCCCCTGGTGATGAATGCAGTGAAGATGGCGGCGATGTTGAAGATGAATAAACATGTGATGAATATAATTGAGTCGAGGCGGGTTTTATAAGACGCTCTGGTTCAACTATCACAAAATTGACATGATATATATTCCTCTATTCGTACAAGTATTAACACGTTCTACCCAAGTATCTACATCTCTCTCAACGACATGCTAGCATATTCAGCACCAAACATGCCATTCAGCCACTCTCCCGCTTCCTTGCTAACACTGCCTCCAAGGCCAGCTCGGTTTAGTGATTCTGTCCAGTTGGTAATTTCCCATACAGAGGCTCCTTGAAACACAGAGGTGTCCAGTCCGTTGATGGTAGCTCCGTCGCTATGCTTGATACTCATGTCTTCTATAACGCCATGTCTTGCGGAAAGATGCATGTTCAGCTTGAAGAATACAATGTTAACAAATGAAACTTGAAAATCCAAAAATGGCCTTGAAAGTAAATACAAAGAGGAAGAGAAATGAACAGTGTGGTCACTTACATCGTATGGCAGCTCCGGTCGAGGCCGAGGATCCTCCTCCGTCGGATGCGTTGAAAACGTAAATTTTGGCGTCTGGCCCCAAATCCAGCTCTTGGATTTCAGCTCCCGGTAGCCCTTTTGCACTTCATCCACTTCAAGCGCCGTATCGTCAAACTCGCCGCGAAAGTCAGCGTCGCCATACATGCTCTCGAATTCTCTCGTCACGGCGTCTTGAAACTCTTGGTTGTCTAAATCAATGTTCCTGACTGGGCTGCGCACGCTATCAACACCTCGAGCATCGATGTATCCCAGGGCTGGAGATCGCAATAGGCCGGAGATACTGGTGAGGTTGGGGCTGCGAAGGAGGCATGTGCCGTGATGCAGTGATCGTAGGCGTGTGAGTTTATAAGCCGAGCCGGAGATTTTATACGTCTCCGTATCAGTAGCTGTTTTTGGCGATGCCACGTCCATGACAATATCATGTCTCGTGTTAACGCGCGTATTCGGCCTCCCGAGCGCTTTCAGCGCGCGCACAACCATTTCAGCATGCTTGTCGCGATCGAACCGCTCAGGCGGGCAGATGACGCTGAAGTTGACATTACCCGCATCGTGAAATACAGCGCCTCCTCCGGATCTGCGGCGGACCAATTGGACGGATGAGTCTGTCCAGCCAACACTGGAAGGCTGCTGGGCAATTTGCGCGAGGCGGTTCAGGTTGACCTGCAGCCAGGGATTCTGGTTGCGGCCAAAGATGATGCTGGGCGAGTTGACGTAGAGCGTGAGGACGGTGGAGTCTGGGGGCGTGATTTGGAGGAGGCGGTGCTCGACAGAGAGGTTGAGGAAGGGGTCGGTAGATCTGGAGAGGTAGATTTGGGTTTTGTGCGAGGGGTGGGAGGCGGAGGCTGTGAGGTGGGAGAAGCGAGATGTCGAGGCTGGGAGTGATGAGGCTGGGGATAGATATGGTGAGGTGGATAGTAGCCGAGCAGTGGCTCTACTTGATAGACGTGGGATCCTCATTGGATGGAGGGTGATGAAGGACGGTGAAGATTTGAGTTTATATGCAGCTTGTTGAGGGCATCATGAATGATTGGCGGGTTTGCATTGGTTATAAAATTGAAGATGTTGCTGCTATTGTCTGGTTGACGGGTTTCTATACTAAGAGGTTAGAGTTATCACGCTAGTAACTGTCAAGCCTCTACACACTCCATCATCCACCTCTCAAAGTCAACTAGAACAAAACGCATCTTGATAAAATTCTATATACAAGTCTATCTTAAAATAACATTAACCGCCTGATTATCATGAATAAACCTCATCCCGCCTTTTCGTCTTATTCCCAAAAATGCAGGGTAGGATTACATAAAAATGTCCGTATTCGCCCCTCCAACTTGCATCCAGGGTCCCCTACAGCGCTGTAAATCGCCTTTCGGACAAAACACGGGAGAACCCCTGCCAGATGCACGTCAGACGGCCCGGACCCCCGTCAATGCTGATGCTGTCATGGTGCAGCACGCGAGACATGTGAACCCTTTAGATGAACAAGAGCTCATGAGAAAGAATGATGGGATAAAGGCTTTTCCCGGCCTCTTTTCGCGTAATCTTGTGAGGCACTTCAACTTCATACCTTTAGTCCTTCTCCCAAGTGACAAACGCCTTTAACGTCAGCTTTAAAAACAAATCCCCGTTATTTTTCTTTACAGGGTTAACGTAATTAACGCTCTTTAGGCTCTTTAAAACACCTTTATCGCTTTCAGTGGTTTTTATCTTATACAAGCGTCAGCCATACAGCTAACTGCGAAAGTCATTCAATAGCTGTAGGATGATATCTGGGTGCTTCTCGTAGTGTTAGATGGATGTGGCTGCATAATCTAGAGTCTTGTAAATTTCCATTACATCTTCTTCTTGTTGAGTGCATGTCAAAGAGAGAGGAAATACTCAAGAGGGTTCAAAGCCAAATGAAACTTCAGAAACTTGGAAAAAAACAAGAGATTTTATATATCGTATCATAGCATCCCTTGTGCTTTTTACATGTAGTTGTAGCGGGAGGGAATTATCTCTATTTAAAATCTATTTAAAAGGGTATTGCTAGAGCACTTTGCGCTTCCATTTTAGTAACCAACAAACTACTGGTATGAAAGGTATCAGAGGTATCAGAGGTATCAGAGGTAGAGGTATCAGAGGTATCAGAGGTATCAGAGGTATCAGAGGTATCAGAGGTATCAGAGGTATCAGAGATATCAGCTTATCAGGAATCTCACTGTATTTTGTCTCTGGATTCAATGTCTGCCGAGGACAGCTCGGAAAAGTTCACATGGGTATGTAGATACATGAACACAGCAATGCAGCTTCCAACATCTATTTACACAAACCAGAAAAGAAAAACAAGGTAAATCTTGCTACTTCCTGCACATCATCATTTCTGATTCAAAATGCTGTAGACATTATATATATGCGTATACATCACAGTTACCCAAAACACTCCGCCAGATTTTACATCACTAGCATGACCAAGCGCCAAGAACACCACCCGTCCATCCCTAACAGTCCTCCAGAAATCCGCCCCCGTCATCTGCCGATACAACAAATGAATAAAAATGACGCAATTTCGTGCTTGGGAATTTATAGCCTTTTATTTCAGCCTATCCAGATTCTTGATGCTCATCAAATAACCCTCCCAGCACATCGCTAGGAATATATTCCAGCCATCCTCCCATAAGATCCGGCTGTTGTAGCCCCAGAGCTCCAATATCGATATCCTGGCTGTCAAACGTAATGGCGTCCATGTTGCCCATAATCGGACCCCACGGCCCCTGGTAGGCCATGTTCTGTGCATAATACAAGTTGTTATGAGCTCCTCCTGTGGTGGTGGCAGCGCTAGTCACGGCCGTTGAATTCATCATGCCTCGAGAGTTGGAGCCGTTGACTGAAGATACGTTGTACGCATCATATCTCCCAGATCCCTGACCCAAAGTCGCGTAGCCAGCAGGCAGTTCTTCGTTCTCTTCCTTGATATCTTCAAAGCTCATTATATTGCGTGAGGTCACACCGGTAGCATTCATCGAGCTAGTAGTGGCATACGCCGATCGTCGGGGTGAATTCCGGATTGCTGAAATGTTGGGCTGTGGAATAGGGGGAGAAAACATGCCTCCCACCTCTGGCATTGTAGGTCTAATAGAGTCGTAGGTTATGCTGCCTGGTGATTCGCTTGCTGGTCTCGCCATGCTGTGTGAAGTGGGAGGATATCCGGTAAGAGGTACTGCATTGGAGTTGATGGCTTGGTACATGAGCGTCAGGCTCGAATTCGGCGAATGGTTTGTTCCGGATAAACTAAAAGCAATAGGTGAGCCGGCAATCTTTGGCGACGATTGCTTCTCTAGTCGAGAGAGCTGCTCGCCAATGGACGGCCGAGCTGGCGGCAGTTTGGTGCTCTCATACTCCTCCACTGTATATGTCTCACAGTCGTCCCATTTGCCTTTTGACTTTTGGTCTAAAACAGTGAGAATATACGTCACACCGCCCCAGTATGACTGAATCTGCTGCAAGGAGTTGTAGCATTTTTGGTAGTTTTGATTTGCCGCCGAAGCGAGGAGCGAGTGTCGAGACTGTTTGGTATTAGGTTTGGCCTGCTGCCGGGAGCGGTTTGTATTGGAATTTGAGGGAGGCGTTCCCTCTCTAGATGATTCTTCGGACGCATTGGTGGCGCTGGATTCCATAAGAAAGGCGCACGCGGCAATGTAGATGGGTTGGTTGGTGAATGGGTTGCCTATAAAGCTCTTTGGGTCGATCAAATCGGCAAAAGATAGAATATCGCAAATGGTCTTGGCGCTGCTCATGCTCAGTTCACGGCTGTCAGAGAGGAGCTGGAGCTCGCTTCTCAGTTCGCAAAAGGGTGTTAGAAGGGTTGGCTGGTGCAAGATGATGAAGAGCGCGTGGAACCAAAAGTGAAGGAGGACAAAAATGGTGCCCTGGCCCATTCCAAGATATGTCTTGAAGTTGCTGACGTTAAACTGGAGTCGTGGGTCCCAGTGTTTGTACATTCTCGTCAGCCGGTGTTCCATCTCGGATAGCTGATCCCATTTATCCTGCGTAAGATCCTGGGCGTCATGAACATTGTTCAAAACATCGCACACCTGACCGTAGAGGTTGATGATTTTGACAAAAACCGGAAAGGGGTTGGGCCACCCAGTCATCAAATCATTGTTGGATTCGGGAAAAGCTAGCTCGTAGTCGCCGTCTCGTATGGTCACGGGCCGTCCTGTGCCTGAAGAGATGACTCTATCCAAGATGAATACGGACCAAAACGTGTCGATACGCTCTTGCTCCACCTCTTTCTGCTCTTGCGGGCTGAGCGTGTCGATACCATCGGTCTTGTGGGCTTCTGGGCTCTCGTGGTCATCGTCATTGGCGCGGCTTCGATGTCGGGTATACCAGGGGTCCTTCTCGCCCTGGTACTGGATTCCCACGCACTTTTGAAGACCAAGATCGACGGCCATGCGTATGGCCAGGCCCAAGTACATCCACAAGGCGCTGTCTTGGTTGGCGCCAAAGCCTTCGTATGCCATGAGCAGGCAGGCTTGGACTGCGCCTACAGAAGGACAAGGAAAGGTATCGACAGTGGCTTGTCTGGCTCTCTGCGCAAAGACTTGGCCTCTCTCTGTTCGGGGCATCTTGTCGTTGCCTCCAGTGAGAATATGGTTATCCGAGAAGCGCGCCGCAATGGCACATACGGCATCCACCAAGATTGGCTCGACGCGTTTGTCCTTGACATGGCGCAGGAATTTTTCCTTGTTGAGAAAAGGGTAATTGCAGCCAACATGAATGAAGAATGCAGTGGTTAGTTGGACAATGAGGGGATGGACCGGAGCGGGGTTATTCGGATCATAAGATGGAATGTCTTCACGGACAATGTCGCTATCCACGGCCGAGCCACTGGCTATGACGCCACTGGGAGTGGACTGGAGCGAAGGGTTAGAATGTGAGCCTCCCGTAGACCGACGCCGATCGCGTACGGACACCACCATTTGCTTGAATCCCGGGACGATGGCCGTGGAGCCAAAGTATCGGAAGTAGGGGATGCGACGGCTGGGGATAACCCGCCGCAGAGTGGGAGAGCCGGGGAGATCATCGGAGGTAGCTGAAGGGTGAGCCTGGTGATGGCTCACCACATGGTGATTGAACACAGGAGAATGGTGTGGTTCTATGTCGTTGGGAATGCCATCGGCGCTTAGTTCAATGCTTGGCGCAATGTTGGATGTTCTCGAAATCAGCGGTGGTCGTGAAACTGAAGCAGACGCTGCTGGCGCATTGTCTCTTCTTGATGACGTCGGACGAGTCTCGGACGCGGTACCAGCAGGTTTCCTTGCCACGTCGTCTTCTGCTTGGTTGATTTCTTCGTTTGGCGCATCGTCTTCTTCGCCCGGCCTCAATCCAGAGTCGGTACCATCTCTCCTATCCTCAGGATAGCCCAGGCACTGGTGTCCGTTCTTGGTGCATGTCGAGCATTGCGGTCGTTCGCCGGCGCATCTTGTTTTACGCCTTCGGCAGGTCAGGCACCTGTGTCGCAAGAAGAAAGAAGAGCCGCGGTTAGCATGATTGTGCCTTCATTTGTCTGCCGCGTTGGTGCTGGAAGGGGGAGTATCGAGAAATGCTGTTTATTCGCCACCATTACTCCAACCGGTTGAGGGGCAAAACAGACAAAAAGAGACGGCATATGAAGACAAGAGCAGCCACGACGCGAGATGGCCAGGGCAGACGGGGCAGTGGACTTACGCCGCATTGATTCTGCGCCGCTTGGACGGCGGCTGGCCCTGGTTATGGACAAAGCGAATCGGGCGAGGCGGGGGACCTGAATCCGGGCGGTTGTTGAGCAGCGTGGTCATGGCTAGACCATGACGGTGATGATGCGGAGCATAAGACTCTGCGTCTGGTTCTGCGTCTGCCTGAGATGGACGGGGCGGAGGCGGGAAATGGCGGACGGGGGGAGCGAGATTGGGCGCAAATCTGGCAATCTAGCCGCCGGATAGCTTGATTTGGCGATATCGTGACGAACGGATGGAGCTCGGCGAAGTCGAGGTGTGTTGCACGGCAGACGGGGGAAGGATTAGGCGTTGATTGAGCAGGAAAGTGTATATTATTCGTAATTGGGATTAGGACATTAAATTAGGTAGATCGTGAGATTGTATGTATTGGCGAATAAAAATAGAAACATCAAGCCGGGGAATAGGGATATGGGTTGAAACTCCGTCGCTGGGCTGGAATTGTTCGTGGGATTTGATGGAGTTGGAAAGAATGGGGTCGCCATCTTTTTGCCTGTGGGTAATCCGTAAAACGGGCTCTCCAGCACACACAGCGCTAAAGAGGAGGCGAGCTCCAGGGCCTTTAGCGCACCGCATGCACCCTGTGCGGGAAGCTCCAGTGATGCGAAAGTGACTTTTGGCGCCAAAATCTGCTTTGCGTGCACTGGCTGACGTTGCGCATGCAGAATCAAGGGCCATCAATGTACTCCATACTCGACGGCAGATGGGCGTCTAGCGGCAGACTCAGGTACCCGGTACCCACTGCACGGTGCATGCTGTCGAGTTGCATCCTGCGCCGTGCCCCAGATCCTGCTCCTGATCCTGCCAGCGATGCAGCAGAGCAGAGTCTCATTTCGGGAGACGGGCTTCTAGAAGTCTGCGATCGGTTAGATGGTGTTTTGTTTTGAATCCAAAGGATCGATTCTGCAGCTTGGAGATGCTCGGACGTCAGAAGTTGCACCGGTACTTGCTTGTGCTAGTCCTTACCAGTTGGCCGATCCCAGCAACGCATCAACACTTGAATGCTTAACTTGCACGATCTTACCCCTCTATGCAACCTAAAATCAAGAAATGTCTTGGCCATGGGTCTCGCTGTTGTACATTGTTCTTATCTTGTGTGACTATTAACAGTGTGTGTCATACTTGCCTGCAGGTTGTAACACCACAGCAACATGACACAGCATGGCACAAACAACATCAAGACACGTTTATAGGGGATACACAAACACAGCATCTGCCCCCCAACGCACACACTTCCGATTCCGAGAAAAACACCCATATTGAACCCCCGCACTCTGCCAGTGGGTAGCATCGAGCATCACCCCGGCCACCTTGGACGTTACAGCCTTAGCATCCATCAATCCCATCTGATTTGAGCGGCACTCTTCATCGAGCGTTTTGTCGTCGAAATGACCAATAGCCCATCTTCACCAAGACTAACTTCCTAAACAGGCATCGTCAACGAAGGATGCCCTGCAAGGAAAAGAAGAGACAAGCAAAAGCCAGGAAGATGGCAGCTGGCTACTATTTCTCTTGGCCTGGCTTTCAGGCTATTCTAACCGTGCGTGGCATGATGCTTTTTCACCAACTACCTAGCCCGAGCCAGCATTATAAAGCATGGAAACGTTGACTTGGTTCGTATTTGGCTTGACTCGGCTTCACATGCCCGCTTTTTCGGCTTGTTTTATTCTTCTGCCTAATGGCTAGGACTAGCCGTCTTCTGCCATTATTTTCTTTTTTCTTTCTCTTTCGCTCTGACTCTCACACCAGGTGCATCTAATTTCCATATACGAGATGGCATCCATGATACGGAGTCTACTAGCAAACATGCTAAACACGTAGCACTGCTACTAGCAGTAGTATTCCCCATGTCTTTAGCAACATAACTCTCCAGCTAGCAACAACAAGCAGCAATCCAAGACTCAGCGACAGCCGTCTCCATGAAGCTATAGCCCAAATCCACAAATCCCACCCTCCAGCAGATCGCTCTCATCCACAGCGAAATACGGCTCCGTACCGACATCGCTCAAGCTTTCCCGTCATGCAGGGCAATCCTGCACTACCCTGACTCTTTCTCCAGGGCCAAGGGTTATTAATGCCCTTTTCTTCTCCATCTTTTTATCTGATCTTGTGACCTCCAAAATTTCCCCTAATGCTGTGGATAGAGCCCATAATTACGCACCTAATAGCCATGCAGCTGCACCTCTCCTTTTAACGAAAAAACGAGGGGCCATCCAATCCATGCATCGTCTAAAACAACTAGGCCAGCGTAACGCAAGCCATTTCTCGTAGTCGCATTCTTTTGCTTCTTCTGCCTCCGCCCCTGCCATGTTGCAAAACAGCCAGATCCATGTTCCGATCCCATAGTGCTTACTATTTTTCTTGTTCAGAAAAAATCCACTAGCATTGGTTGCCCTTTTCGCAATCTGTCATTCAGCCAACCCTGTCATATGTAGTTGACTGGCAGCGCAGCGTAGATGCTGTCATGATGTCCCAACAAGCTTCCTGCGCCGTGGCTCTCGGGCACATGGGAAACTCTAAAACTCTATTTTTCTAGAATAATCCATTTCTCACGCGGTAATGCGCGAACAAGTACACAGTGCTTTGTCGACACTGTACTGAGACAGCAGGTATCTCACAAGCTCGTATACCTATCTATGAGAATCATTTCACAGTTTTTACATTAATGCTTTATCTGAGTTTTAAATCTTCTCCTAAAAAAAAAGGTATCATTTTAATTTGTTTCGCCAACGGAGCGCATTTGAAATATCCCAATCCCCGCCGTCCACCGTAATAACATCCCAACGCCTCATGTGCAACTGAAGCGAGCTGTAGGTGACATACATAATCTGTCTCATGTTCACCAGTGCAGCTTGTCGTAGTCTCGGAAAAACCCCCTTTGATTCGCTCCCATCCATGCCGTGGTTATAAAGCTTTCATTATACAATCTGCAATGCGTCATCGCTCCCATCATTGCGTTGCTCATCATGTCTATCCAAAGACAACCGATACTCCCATATCCTCGCTGACCCTCCTCCACAAGTCCTTCTTTCGCTCGTCGACATGGATTATTTCTTCTTCGACATCTTCGCCATTGTCCGCTCGTCTCCAAACTTCCTCCACTATGCATCTCGCTCGCTCGATATTAGTCATTCCCTGTCGCTGCAGAACAGCCGCAAATGATTGTCGGGACATCTCTCGGTCAACAGGATCAATCGCCTCACAAGACGCCACAAATAGTGGCCAGAGTAGAGCACCCATAGGCCCTTCGTTATTTACAGTTCCAATGCAGTGGAGGAGGCTGATGTGCGTGTGACGTTGCACAACGGCATGCCGCCGAGAACGGCCGTAGATTGTTCGGTAAAGGTAAACGAATCCAGAGTGTCGATATGCCATGGCGCTGTTTACAATGCTTTGCATCCTATTGCTGGCTGTATTGAAATTGCCTTCATCGTCAGGTAGAGATTCCTCCGATGGCAGAGCCCACTCCTGTAGGGCAAGCTCAACTGCAGAAGCCGTGGTCGCGAATTCCGTTCGAAGTATTGCAATTTTTGAAGCGTCGCCTCGTAACTCTGCTAAATGGAGTTCATGTTTCATATCGCCCAGGGTCGAGAGTCGGTGTATGATGGGCCATAGAGAAGTAGCCATTCCAAGTAATGCATCAGCCCCTGTAGAGGCTGTGGCACCACGGCAGTCAACGGGGGGGAATGGAGCAAAGTTCCCGGTGTCTGGTGCAGGCAGAATTGGAGTAGAGCCAAAGGATAGTGCTGTGATAACATCATAGAATCGAAAGGCCTGTATTGTTAATGGCCTTGGTTAGCTGACAAAAGACTGGTGGGCCACCCGGTTGCAAGAGAACTCACCCTTTCCAAGAAAACTCCGGTTGGATCAGACATTGCTCGGCTGTTGTACATGATAGCTACAGCACCTCTCAAGTGTCCGTCAACGATATTGGAGCGGCCAGTTTGAACCAGCTGTATTTTATCAACGTTAAAAAGTGCCGTCGTGGAAAAGCAAAGAGCGATATCAACTTACCACCTCGTAATAAACGAGTAGTATAATAGCTGCCAATAACTCATTTCTTCTTGAATCACATCCTTTCGCTATCATAGAAGACAGTCCACGGATGGCCTGATTGTGAAAGTGGATGCTCTTCTCGTTGTTTCGTACGCCTCGGTGTTCCATATGAGCACTGGCCAGTGCAAAAACAGCGTTTAAAACAACTGGGCTCTTTTGGGATAATGGTAGGACAAGTTGCTGAAATGGGTTGCCCTCATCTTCGCGTAGGACGATGAGATGAGATAGCACATTGGCGAAGTGATCGATCAGGGCTCGTCTGTTCGTCTGCGGAGAGAATTCGGCAAAGGCGGGCATGACAAGTTCGACGGCTGGAAACGGAGGTACAGTTGATGTGGAGGCGACCATTGCGAGGGAAGAATCGTTTGAGGTAGAGTTGGGGGCTTTGTCGTCGATGAGGGTGATAGCTCGGTCGTCGTCATCGTCATCGTCATCGTCATCGTCATGCTCCTGCCTTACAGGGCCTTTGGCCGCATCGAAATTTAGGCCGGCGATATCCAAGCAGCCATCGTTTTCTACTGTGTCGGGAGCCCATGTCGTAACCATTTCATCAGCAACATCTTCGCCATACTTGGCTGAAGATGCTCGATGCTGCATGCGGCCATCCGCGGTGAGGTTGTTGCCAAGATATGTGTCGGAGCACCACAGAAGAGCATCTTCCCATTGCTCAAAAGACATTCGTTTCTGCGCGGCGCGGGATAGCGTATTGTTTTCCAAAACCATGGAGGAGAGTGCATTCACAGACGAGTCATCGAAAGAATCCTGCCTCCGCCGTTGACGCGGCTTAATGGGTTCATATACACAGCTCTGCCCATGGTCCTGGCAGCGACTGCATATAGGTCTGATTTCATCGCATTTCTTCTTCTATTACGATGGCGTTAGAGGGAATCATGAGTGGTGGCCTGCAGTATGGTGAGATGTTACCTTCTCTTTGCTACAAGAGAAAAAGGAACATGCGTGTTAGCTGTTATGCTCCTGTCTACCGGCAGTAAACAGAGTCCAACTCA